CCCCAAACGTGCCCGCTGCAGTACATGCATATTGCACCCCACATGTGCATGTTGCACCCCCAAACGTGTCCGCTGCAGTACATACGTGCACACTGCACCCACACGTGCCCGCTGCACCCCACACGTGCATGCACCCTGCAGCACACACGTGCACACGGCACCCCACATGTGCACATTGCACCCCACACATGCCTGTGGCACCCCACACATGCACACGGCACCCCACATGTGCACATTGCACCCCACACGTGCATGCTGCACCCACACGTGCCCGCTGCACCCACACGCGCCCGCCGCAGCCGCCCGCCCCGCGCCCGCGTTGAGGGGGGTCCCTGTCCCCCCAGGCGCTGCTGGACCTGGGGGGCTCCCCGAACTACAAGGACCGCCGGGGCCTGACCCCCCTCTACCACACGGCCATGGTGGGGGGCGACCCGCGCTGCTGCGAGCTGCTGCTCTACCACCGCGCGCGCCTGGGCACCGTGGACGAGAACGGCTGGCAGGAGATCCACCAGGTGGGCGCCCACGGGGGGTCCCGGCGCCCACGGGGGATCCTGGTGTCCGTGGGGGTCCCAGCACCCACGGGGGTCCCAGTGTCGGTGGGGGATCCTGGTGTCCGTGGGGGTCCCGGCGCCCACGGGAGTCCCAGTGTCGGTGGGGGAGCCTGGTGTCCGTGGGGGTCCCAGCACCCACGGGGGGGGCAGCACCTGCGGGGGTCCCGGCACCATGGGGTGGGCTGGTGCCCATGGGGGTCCTGGCACCCACGGGGGTCCCAGGGCCCATGGGGGATCCTGGTGTCCGTGGGGGTCCCAGCACCCACGGGGGTCCCAGTGCCCGGGGGAGGTCCCAACACCCACAGTGTCCATGGGGGGGCCGCTGCCCATGGGGGGGCTGGCACCCATGGCGGGGCTGGTGCCCATGGAGGTCCCAGGGCCCATGGGGGTCCCAGCACCCACAGGGGGCTGGCACCTATGGGGGGGCCTGGTGTCCATGGGGGGCCCTGGCACCTATGCGGGATCCTGGCATCCGTGGGGTTCCTGCTGCTCGCGAGGGTCCTGGCACCCATGGGGGTCCCAGCACCCATGGGGGGGTCCTGGTGCCCACAGGGCTCCCAGCACCCACACGGTGCTGTGGGATGGATGGGGTGGGGGGACCTGGCGGTGGCGGTGGCGGTGTCACCATGGGAGGGGACACATGGTGCAGTGCAGGGCAGGGGGCACTGGGTGGCACTGGGTGGCTCTGGGTGGCACTGGGTGGCACTGGGTGGCACTGGGTGGCTCCGGGTGGTGGCGCTGGGTGACACTGGGTGGTGGCGCTGGGTGACCCGTCCCCACGGGAGGTGACCCGTCCCATGCCAGGCGTGCCAGCACGGCCACTCGCAGCACCTGGAGCATCTGCTGTTCTACGGGGCCGAGCCGGGCGCCCAGAACGCGTCGGGCAACACGGCGCTGCACATCTGCG